ATAATAATAATAATAATAATAATAATAATAATAATAATAATAATAATTATAAAAATAAATCCTGCTTTTAAAGTAACTTTAGACACAACCTGCAGGAGTTCAAGAACACAAACTAATACACTGTAAAGGTCTTAAATTAAAAAAAGAAAAATACTGTACATGCTATATGTGCATCAATGTCTGTTTTTGTTCAAGACTTTACTGGAATCAAGATAATAAGTTGGAGATAAAAACTAAAATGTATGTCCTTCTTGACAAAGACCCTTCTTTCTTTTTCTTTTTTTTTTTAGAAAAAATACAACAAGATATATGTTTACAAAGGCACATCATCATAAATTGAAATAGCTGCTACTGTCATCCCAATCATTTTTATGTTATTACCAGAATGGGTTGAGACAAAGACTTGATTTGTGCTTTTTGAATTGGTCCAACGGGCTTGAACTCTATGTAGCCTGCCAAAATATTTGTTTTCTCTCACTGAGAGAACAAATCTGCTTCCAATTCAGGTCTGAGTCCAAAAAAACTTCACCATAAGGCTGTCAACATCAAAATGTGGGTGGGAAAGGTGAAGCACCCACACCTGCCTCCACCTTCATTTGCTCCACTCTGGGCCCTTGAGCAAGGCCCTTAACCCCCACCATCTGCTCCCCTGGTGCCCTAGATAGCAGCTCTCTGCTCCACACAGAGGGCTGTGGTAGCTCCGTGGTCTGTGGTTGCGTCAGGAAGGGCAGCCGACGTACAAACAATTGCCAAGTCTTCATGTGAGTTAGTTCACTGTGTCAACCCCTGAAGAAGGGTGCAGCCAAAAGTAGGAACAAAAAAGTTAGACTTTCATACGGCCCACTGGCAATGTACTGCATTGGATTAAAAGCTCACACATCACACAGAGGATACTTTTTAACGAAGACCACACCATATAGAGGATACTTTATAAAAAAGTTATCAAGATTTGTAGTGGAACAACAGTTTCATAAAGACGCTGATGGTCAAGACTTTCCAGTTCCACTGCCAGACACAATCCATCAATGTGGTAAAGCAATATAACCAGAGTTCTGCTGAGTCTGCCCCAGTGAGCTTCCTGTGAGATCATCCTGCTCTCTGAAACCCCATTCAACCTTGATTCAAGTGCAGCTGTTTTAGACATGTAGCTTCCATGACCCTGAAGCAACGTTCTGTGTACTGTCAGAAACATCAGAGGAGGATAAAAGAAGAACGAGCATGCCTCAGTAAACTTTCTGCTTTTAAAGTCTTAACTCTTGATAGTTTGAGCGTCTTGATTTGTAACAATCAGCTATACTTATAGTGTCTGGTTTTAAATAGACAAGTGTCCTTGAAACTTTTGTTGAGTTTTTTTCTCATCTTGTTTTTTCTCATTTTATTGAGTTTTTTTCTCATCTTCAGTCACAAAAGTCCTCTATAAATGGAACTTGCTTATAGCTTGGAATGGGAGCTTTCCTGTACATAAAATTACTAAACATCAAACTTTTCTTCTTTACCTTCAGCTTTTAAAGAATCATTATATAGGATTTATAGTCAGATGTGTCTTTTTTTCCTACAACAAGAGACTGACAAGGTATTTGTTTATAAAATGCGAAGGCATTACCTTGTTAATAATATTTGTAGCGATTACTCAATTCCACTGAGCTAAAAGTTAGATCAGAGGGAAACTTTACAATAAAGCTGGGTGATTTACACTAATAAATTTTGTAGCCAACTCTGGGCACATATGGTACTGTTTAAAGCATAATAACTACAGCAGAGTTTTTCCTCATGTCTTCTGGGTCTTTTTAATTTCAAATATCAGTGAGTTATTTAGGAGTAGATGTACATTACATGTGTCGTTTTTCCAAAGCTGGAGTCACTGTTATAGTTACAAAATGGTTGAACGTGTTGATACAAGTTGTATTTTTATTTCACAGCTGCACTTTGAGTTTTACAATGTTCCCCAGGCTTTGATATCTGGCAAAATGAGGAGACAAAAAAAGGAGGAGACACCAGTCATCACTTGTTCCTAAACCAGTAAAAAAAAAAAACATTCTAACTTTTGTTCTATTAAGCTATCTTTATGAAGCTGTTTTTTTGGTGGTGGGGCTTTATACAAAAAAAAAAAAAGGTAGTTAAAAGGGTGTTTTTAGTTCAAGCTTAGGGTAAGCCTATTAAAACTGATGCTTGATGTGTTGAAAAGCTCTATATGAAGATCAAGATTGTGTCTGATCACAGATCAAAGAAAGTCCAAACCAATTTGCTTTAAAAATCAGATTATGGCAACAAACTTTTACTACTGTGTTGGTAGCATAAACCTCAAAGTATCCTTTCCATTACATTTTGGCTCAAACTGCTGGATCAAATGGTCTGTTGGAATGAACCAGAAGATAATAAGTTACATCTGGAAACATAAAATCTCACCATCACCAGATGGTGATTCAGCAGAAAACATTTCAGCCAAGACAAAATCCAAATATCTCAAACAACCATTTGGAAATATGCTTGCAAATGCTATTTTGAAGGAGATGAAACATGCAAGTTTGTGACTTGTATGTTTTTACCTACAGGACTGTGCTTTATGAATGCTGCCCAGGGTATATGAAGATGGAAGGCATACGTGGTTGCCCTGCAGGTATTTTCAGTGCAAAAACAAAGCAGATGTACAAAAGTTGATAAAGCAACTTCCTCAAACTGCTGAACAGCTGTCAGCTGAATTTGAATTTCAAAAGTAGAACATACAATAACATTTTGTTAGTATCCTTTTTAGGCGACAATTGTTTCGATTTTTTTTTCTCCTGATATTAAACCTCACTGTTTTGCTTTTAAGTTGCTCCGATTGACCATGTGTATGGGAGCCTGGGTCTAGTGATGGCCACTTCAACCCAAAACTATGCTGACATTTCTAAACTAAGACCTGAGATCGAGGGACCAGGATCTTTCACTTTCTTTGCTCCTAGCAATGAGGCCTGGGAGGCATTGGATGAGGTGAGTCAGGAACAAAATGAAAACTTCTGTAACTTCGCTGTCTGGAAGATTTAAACCTTTACACTTCTTGCTTTACAGTCGGTAAGATCTGCACTGGTCAGCAACGTCAACATTGAACTGTACAATGCTCTTCATTTTCACATGGTCAACAAACGCCTCTTGACCAAAGATTTAAGGAATGGGCTCACACTTACTTCTATGTCCAATGACCTTGGTCTCTATATTAACCATTATCCCAATGGGGTAAGTATTGCCATATAAGACCCATTCTCTTTATAATAAAATAACATGTTAGCAAAGTATTAAAGTGTATATCATGTGCAGGTGGTGACTGTGAACTGTGCAAGGATTATCTATGGCAACCAGGTTGCCACCAATGGAGTTGTGCATGTCATTGACCGTGTCATCAGCAGTGTTGGAAACACCATCCAGGAATTCATTGAAGTCAGTGATGACTTGACAACACTGAGTGTAAGTATGGCCAGAAAAATGTTTTCATGTTTATTACATGTTGAAGGTCATTAAACATAATGACACATATGAAACTATTTTCTAGGACATGGTTAAAAATGCTGGATTGCTTGAGAAATTGGGTACGCCAGGACACTACACTCTCTTTGCCCCCACCAATGATGCCTTTGATAAGCTTGGCAGTGACACAATGGAAAGACTTCTAAGTGACAAGGAAGTACTTAAAGGTAAACCTAATCTATATTTAAAGGTTTATTTTTAAAATTGCAATTAAGTTAACAAAATGTAGAAGGTCCATGAATTGTACTTTTTTCCAGTCAAACACAATTTATTCCTGAAAGAATCTGGAACTTAATGCATATTTCACTTTAAAGAGAAATCAAGTTTTAGAACATAGTATACACATATAGCAACTTGAAAACAAAATTCTGCCATTTTAGCACCAGATTTATTTGTGTGGGCATTGAGTAGCAGGAAGCAGCTGCCTCCCTGTGAAGGCTGAACAAATTGGCAACATACCTTAACTTTTGTCTATCCCCAGAGCCTGCTAAATGAAGCCAGAACCATTTTGCACAATGGTAAACATAGTGTATCAAATCAGTTCATCCAAGAACCTGCAGAGGAATGAACATGTGTAAGCAGTACTTCTCCAGCTGCAGTATTACAGAAGGAAAACTACATGATTGTCAATGTGAGGCCGAGATGGGGTAGAGGCAGGGCAGCCGACTCGGGACCCGAAAGTCCTAGGTTCAATCCCCAGTCATTGCACATCTCATGGTGTCTCTGAGCAGCACACCCTATCCCCAAATTGCTCCCTGGGTACTTTCAATAGCTGTCCACTGATCCACCTGGTAGTGGATGGTGGTTAAATGCAGCGAGTTAATTTCGCCATTGTATGGAAATATACAATGATGACAACACATAATACATTAATATGTGTCACAAGACCATCTAAACATAGAAAATAATCACATACCAAGTAAAAATGCATTGTCTTGTTTCAGCTCTTTTGACTTTCCACCTCCTGGACTCTGTCCAGTGCTCTGAGGCCATCTTGGCTGGAACTTCTTATGAGACCCTGGAGGGACACAACATTGAAATTGGCTGTGATGGTGAAAGCCTGACAGTCAATGGCATCAAAATGGTGCTTAAGAAGGACATCGTCACTACAAATGGAGTCATTCATTTGATTGACCAAGTACTTGTTCCAGACTCAGGTTAGACTCCCATTTCCACTTTAGCATACTTTGTTTAATATGAAAAATACAAGCCGATATTCTGTCATTCATATTTCAATGGTGCCAAATTATTTTTACATTTTAGCTAAGCAGGTAATGGAGCTGTTGGGAGATTCACAGTCCACCTTTGGTGACATGGTGGCTGAGCTTGGTCTTTCTTCTGAAATGTCAGCCAGTGGAGAGTACACTTTGCTTGGTCTTCAAAATGTTGCTTTTACTGGTGAGTCACATACGCTTGTTGTATCCTGCATGTCCTTCTGCTTTCCACTCGGCTAGCAACAGAAAATAGATGCTTGTCCTCATTCAGGTGCAGTGTGAATAAAAGCATACACACAAAAAAAAAAAAAAAAAAATCTGCTTGCAAGCATATTTGTATGGGCTTGCAGTGTAGGTTTTGTTTTGTAAATAAAATTCCAGCTAAAGTGATATGTATACATGAGACACTAATATGTCCAAAATGTATGTTTTGGATTACTGTAGTGCCTGTTTTTCTTGATGTAGAGTAATTAAAAAAAAAGTTCTAAACTGGGGTTTTTTTTCCATCAGAATGCTTGCACTCAACAAGTATAACCCAAATGCAAAACTACTTATTTTCCTTAGTACATGAGGTGACTACTGAACATTTGAACAGTTCAGTGACCATATTTTTGCAGATTACAAAACTTTGTAAATTGGCATTCAGGACAAACTAATTACATGTAGTTGAGAGAATAGCAAACGTTTGAATTGTGTGAGACCACAAAGTCAGGCTACTAAAATAATTGCCCATGTTTTAACTTAAGGGGAGAACTGTATGCCTCTCATGATAGAAGTCTAAACAACAGATTAACATGAAAATGTTAGTAGGATAAGACCTGAATAAGTCAGTTATTAAAAGCTGTAAAAACAGTGTATGTACACAGACATTTTAAGAGAGATATTTATATTTTCAAATGTGGTACTGTGTTCTTCAATATAAACTATCAGTATATGGAACTCAGACTTCAATTCATAAGTAACAAACAAAAGGGATTCTTAACATGTTAATTAGTAACTGTAAATTTAACCAAAAAACAAACAAACAAACAAACATGTAAGCCTTGGTTCTACATACACTGTTCTACATACATAATCTGCTGCTCTCAGATTACTGTGATCAAAATGATCTTTTTTCAGCTTTTCCCTCTTCAGGGGTTGCCACAGCACAGCATCTCCATCGCACTATGTCCTCTATATCCTCTGTCCTCATTCCAACTACCTCCTTGTCCTCTCTAACTGCATCCATATATCTCCTCCTTGGCCTTCCTCTTTGTCTTTTTCCAGGCAGCAGCATTTCTAACATCCTTCCACCAATATACCCACTGTCCATCCTTTGGACATGTCCAAACCAGCTCAGTCTGGCCTGTCTAACTTTATCTCCCAGTTCTTCAACATGTGCTGTGCCTCTGCTGACCTCATCCCTAATCTTATCCATCCTTGTCACTCCTAAGGAGAACCTCAAAATTGTAATTTCTGCTACTTCCAGTTCTTTCTCCTGTCTTTTTGTCAGTGCCACTGTCTCCAGACCATATGATGTGATCACTACTGTGATCAGGATGGTAATAAATGCAAAAGAATGTAGCCAAAAAAAAGTTGCAAATGATCAATTTCTTTAAAGGAAATATTGTTCTTTAATTTGCAGATGAAGTAATGTCATTGGATCAAAGGGACCTCAAACTTATCCTGGAAAACCACATCATAAAGAATAAGTTTGGCCTTGGACATCTATACAATGGTCAAACACTGGAGACTCTTGGAGGAAAAACTCTGAGGGTCTTCATATACCGCTCAGTACGTCATCTCCTCAGAAACTGTGCCCAGAATTTATGACTGTATAACACAAAATAACCACAATGTATTCTGCTCTGTGTTTTTTTTTTTTTCCTATTAGTCATAAAGTTTTGAACCATCTCATTCACCCCTTCTGTCTTTAACTTGTGGATTATATCTGCAGGCTGTATGCATTGAGAATTCCTGTATGATCAGAGGCAGTAAAGAAGGAAGCAACGGGGCCCTTCATCTCATGACGGCAATGTTGAAACCAGCAACAAAATCCATGTTTGAGATCCTAAGAGAACATGGACATTTCAAGTAAGCACAGGAGATAAGTGTGTGAGTGTGTGTGCACATGCAACAACAACCAATTTTGCTTGTTAAATGTTCGCACACCACATCTCATTTTTCCATATTGACCATATGGAAATAGCTAAGTGCTTTCAATCCAGTTTGTTAGCCTTTGGTGGTTTCTATAACAACCCAGCTTGTTTCTTGTTTTTGCTGCAGGATCTTTTTATCTCTAATGGAAGTTGCTGGGCTGACAGAGCTGCTCAAAACAGATGGAGGATTTACTCTCTTTGCCCCAAGTGACGAAGCATTTGCTGGTTTGAGTGACAGAGATTTAAAATTGTTGAAGAGTAGGTCTACTACACCTTGTTTTGATTTCATCTACTTCAGTTACTTGCACTGCCAGTGAACAATCACATAAACTAATCTACATTGTGTTTGCCTTTCTTTATTTCAGGTGACGCTAATGCTCTCAGACACATACTTTTGTATCACTTCAGCAATGGTATTGTCATCGGTGAGGGACTGGAGTCTGGAGTGACAAATCTTCTCAAATCCCTTCAGGGCAGCAATATCAAAGTGAAATCTGTAGGTATTAAATCGAGGTCATTCTAATCAGTCTTTTTGCTTTTTCTTATATTATGTAAAGGTATAAAACATGGTTTTAAATATATAATTATTAGTTATTTAATGGGTTTTCACATGTGAGTTAATTGTTATCCTAAATTGTGATAATACAACAAACAAATTTAATTTCCTCTTTCATTCATGCCACGATTTTGGTACTGCTGTAGCTCAGTGCTGCAGTTTTATAATCCAGAGGTTTCGGGTCAGGAAGGGCATACAATAAAGCAATTGGCAAATCGTTCATGCAAGTTCGCTTGATGTGGCGAGCCCTGAAGAAGGGAGCAGCCAAAAGAATCTTACCTACCTATTCATTCCACTATTTATGTTCTGTTTTAATTGTTTACCTCAGGGAAAAGACAGTGTGCAGGTGAACACCGTTAAGATCTTGGAATCTGATACCATGGCCACAAATGGTGTCATTCACTTTGTCAAACAGCTTTTGCTCACTGAAGGTAAGAATTTTTTCCACTCAAACTTTTATATGTACTTCCACTTATAAATCTGTCAAGACATGCACTTGTTTTTATAACCATAGTAAAAGCCTAAACCGTGTCACCGCCCTGTGCTGTCTTCCAGAAATTCCTATTGGAAACCAGGAACTCTTTACGTTACTGAAGAGACTCATTACTTATTTGCAAATTAAGGTAAATTAACTTTTATTAATCCTTCTGTGGTTATGAAGAGTAGGGTGCGGTTTTCTGTGAAAAACATCTTCATGTTTTGTAACTCTTGCAGTACAAAACAAGTACTTTTACAAAAAAAATCTAAGAAATTTGTGTATTTTCTTGCTATTTATTTATAATTTATAATTACATACCATAAATGTTGCACAAACGCTGCTTTACCAGATTTGTATTCTTTTTAAAGTACATTCCAGGGTTCAGATATCAGGAAATACCCCTCACCTTTTTGAGTAAGCATTTTCCTTTCTATTTTTATTTGTGTGTTCTTGATTTCCAGCATCTCTCAGTCAATATTAAATTATATTGGTTTTACATTTTTTAATTTAGAAAATATTGTCACACATGTTGTCCAAGATGGTAATTCTGATTACAGACTAAAACAAAAAGATTCTTACAATCATATACATACATCTTTAATTGGAGACTTACATGTGCAAAACTTTGGCAAATTGTGGTGAAGAAGCAACCCCCCCCCCCCCCCCCACCTAAAAATCAATCTTTAATCCAAGCATTTTATTGAATAGTGTTTTTAAGATAACACATCCAAAACACAGCAACGAGTTTAGCAAGTTAAATTAAATGAATTGTTCTTTCTTCACTTTTACAGCTTCTGGAATAACTAAAGTGACAAGAGTTATAGAAGGGAAACCCTCCGTTACCAAAGTCACCAGAGTGATTGAAAGCAAGCCTTCAGTCACCAAGGTTACCAGAGTCATTGAAGGTGAACCTTCGATCACCAAGGTCACAAGGGTTATTGAAGGCGAACCCACCTTCACCAAGGTCACCAGGGTTGTTTCAGGTATTAACTTTTTTAGTTCAATCTGTGAAAATCCTCATCTGATTAATCCTTGCAAGTATTTATGGATGCTTTTGTTTCCAGGCCCTCAGTACTCGGTCAGCACCGGTACCACAAACATCGCCCTGGAAGGTGAGTACATTTGAAGGCACATTTCCCAGGATGTCCATTTTCACTGACACACACAATGTGAAGTATTAAATTTCCTTTGAATATTAGTGCTTGTACAAACATAATATCTGCTATATGCCATAATAATGAAGTCATAGAAGAGTGTGATTTGAAAACAATAAAATAAATTTGTATCATAATTCGTTTTCCATCAGGAACTGATCTTTCAAAATTTACTACCATTGAAGGGGATGCTAATCTTGACATTGATCAACTTACCAGAGTGATCCAAAGTAAGTATTTTGAGTCTGTGTAGTCCACTGACTCAGCAAAATTTTGCCTATTAATATGTGATGTATACATATGCTTACTTTTTTTTTTTTATAGAGAAAAGAATTAAGCCTGGAAAAGTTTTAGGTAAAAAATAAAATAAAAAAAAAGATTAAACATCAGCCAGCCAAAAACCTATATTTGTTGCAAACATATATTTTAGGCTGATTGTGGCTGCCAGTTCAAGTCTGTGCTTGCATCTATATGTCACCATGTCTGCCCTGCAGCATAAATGTATTACACCCCATAAATCTTTGAGGGTGTAATTAATGGAATAGTTTGACATTTTGAGAAAATTTCTCAAACTGCTTGTTTTCTTGCTGAAAGTTCGATGGAAGATTGATAAACCCCTCATTTGTGCAAATTTATCACAAAGTTGAAGCACAAATAATAATCAAATAAGCAAAAACAGTTTAGTTATGTCTGACATTATGTGTGCCTTTTGAGCTCACATGTTTTATTTTGTTAGTTTAATCATAGACAAAGTATTTTACTGGAGATGATGTGGTGAAATAGGGCTGGATCAGTTTCCTGGCTCTCCATTTGCACCCTTGTAACCTCAATAAATAAAACATTGCTGAGGGTTCAAGCTGAGCAGCAGTCCTGTACATAACCCTCTGTAAAACCACAATGTGTTGTCTCTACACTTCACAAATCAAATAAACATTAATGAATAAAGTTTGGATTTACTGGTAGGTGTGTTTGGTTGTGTTTGTACAGGCTGGCTTGGCCGATGCCTTCATTTTCCAGTTCTAGTGCTCACTTAAGGCAGCCGACTGCTGAATCACACTTTCCATGCCGATTGAGGGATGGTATCAGTCTTCTCTCCCAAACTCAGCAAGAAAACAGCCAAGCATATTTACAAAAAATAATAAGTACAAGTCAAACAATTCCTTATTATCAGTGGGCTCGTTGTTCATTTCACCATGCTTTGCCGCACAACGCTTACCTAAAGCTGATATTTATTATGCCTCTGCAGCTGCAATTCATGTAACGTTTTCATGAGGTTCATCTCAAGTCAAGCATCCACATTGGCTCTGAGGTTCTCTGTGGGGGCAGTCATCCCTCCCACCCTCTGCTGCTCTGCATTTAATGCTGCCATGTGGAGAGAGATGAGATCAGAGCACATAGACTTTCCAAGCTTTGACGCAGAACATATTTCACTTTAAGGTAATTATATGTTGTATGTGACTGACATTTATGTATTATTTATCTCTTGTCAGATGCTAACAGGAGGCGGGGAAGAAACTGAGGGTGAACGGATGATAACGTCTTCCTTGAAAAGCTGGAGACAGACTAAAAGTCTGAAAATGACGTCACACAGAAAAGTGTCACACTAAAGTGTCAGTTCCGAAACAACATGACTACAGCTGACAAAACATGTGGTAAACATAAATGTTATGGTGCTTTTAATGTATATATCTTGAACCTTTAAATTCTGTTTATGTCAGAAAGTTAATGGATATTTTTGATGAATCTGATAATGTGGAAAGTTAGGGAAAGGAATTATCAAGTCACTTGACTAATCTTAAAAACATTTCCTTTAGTTTTATTGTGGCTTTGATGAAGGTAAATGCTGAGGAAATTTACAAGTTGTTTGGAAAGGTTTTTTTTAACATTAATGAATAAAGAGTGATGTACTTTATCATTTTAGCTGTTATTTTATTTTTCTTGCTTTGAGTTGTTTAAGGTGTTGTTTACATGTTGTTGGCTGCTTGTGATATTTGGAATGATGTAACCAAATATTAATTCTTCTGTTTTCCAAACATCCTACAATAAAATGCTTTTTGTGTAGATGAATGTTGTTAATAAGAAAAGTCATTTCTGTGACCTTAAAGTTCTTTGGTTGTAGGCAATACTTCATGCTGTTTAAGAGTTTAAAATAGCTGAGTTCAAAACTAAATATTATGTTTGCATTACAAAGTTCAAGGTGTTTAAATTCAACTCTTAACATGTATGAGTCATGTTGCTCAGTGGAACAGTGATCTATTTGTGAGGTTAAGAAGGAGTTTGGCAGTGAACCTATGGAAATGCCCAGGAGGACATTTGTAAAACAGAAATCAAGCTGGGCTCATATAAATAATGTTTCTTAAAAATAGTGCCTGCTTCTATTTCATCAAATAAAACTTTCATTGAAAGACTAATTTGTGTCCAAAGCATAAACTTAGCCAGCTAATTTGAATTTTACTACAAGTAATTACACCCATAAAGCTATAAAATAAACACAAATGAACTTCTGCTTGTTTGTAGAATGAATTGTGAAGTCTTACTTAACAGTGAAGTAAAGTTTAAATGACATACGTCAGCTTATGCGTGCACAGATTTGAAACTGGCGCAGATTCAGTGATATTTGGCTCGTATGTAAAATTCTTTGGCTTTTTATGGGCTCTTGAATTGATTAAACAGAGTAAAAACAGGAGCAACAGCCAAAGTAAAAAAAACAAAAAACTCTTGATGTACCAAACAAAATCAAGACAAAAGTTAAATAGTGCGTTAATATATTTTATTTATTATTATTAAGATTTTTAAGGATTTAATACGAGGCCTTACTAAGCCATGCAAATGGTTAAACACTCAATTCTTCACAGTATTTATTAATGTGATAATATTCAGGCATTACATATTTAAAATACATCTTTGCAAACCATATTTAATGATTATTCAACCAGCAGCACATGAAAATGATACACATTTACCTGTCCTAAAATTATTTCCTGTAGCACAAGGCTAATTGTACATGTATGAAAGGCCTACAGTTTTGTAAGTTGTATAAACATATACACATGTGAACATAGGCCAGTCCAACTGCTAATGTCATGCCAAAATATGCTTGATTTGGAACTTTCCAATTACGACTTAACACGTGATTAAATGATGTAGAGCTCACAGGCCACAATACTGAAAAACTGCATGACAATAAGTGACAATAATTTTTTTAATTCAACCTTTATACAGGTTAGTGTCATTGAGCTACAAGGACTCATTTACAAGAGAGACCTGTTTTAAACAAAAAGCACAGATGAGGTACAAACAACAATAGACAATCATATAAAATGAAAATTAAATAGAAGAAATTAAATAAAAACAAAACATAAACAGCTACATTATAAAGCGATGCAAAATGCTAAAAACAGGAAATTGTCTGCGTTGGTTTTTGTCATGAACTTAGCAGTTGTTTAAAATCCCTTAGAGAAGTCAAAGTCCAGAGCTTCAGATGTTTTTGCAAGGTGTTCCGTGTTAAAGGAGCGGAGTAGGAAAAGGCCCTGTTGCCAAGTTCGGTCCGCACTGAGGGTACACTGCAAGTAATTATGTCCTGAGAGTGCACGCTGTAGCTGCACTCACAGAGTGACATATAGGAGGAGACATATGAAGTCAACAGATCAAGACGTGCAAATGTACCAGTGTGAGTCTGTGTGAAGTTAATGATGTCCAATTGACCAATGAATACAGGGTGCAGTGATGGATACGGTAGTTACAGCCAGATATGAATCTTAGCGCACCATGATAGGCAGCATCCAACATCTGCAAGGCATTTGCAGGAGCATTCATGTAAATGTCACCGTAGTCAATGGAGGGGAGGAATGTAGCAGTTACAAGGTGTTTCCTAACGTTCAGAGTTAGACAGGATCTATTTCTAAAAAAGAAAGAAACCTAGTTTTAATACCAATTTCTTCGCCAAGTTTTCGACATGAGGCTTAAAAGAGAGATGTGAATCGACCAAATTATCCAAGTATTTATAAGCATCGACAAACTCAATAGGAACACCATTCAAAGATAAAATAGAAGGAAAGATTGCTGGTACCGACTTCCTCTTTGAAAATAACATCCCTTTGGTTTTGCCAGCATTTAACAGCAGTTTGAGACGGAACAAATCTGACTAGTTGATGTCAAAAGCAGACTGCAAAAGCTGGAAACCCTTGACAACTGCTCTAGCTCAACAATAAACTACTGTGTTGTTGGCATAGAAATGTAGGGATGCATCAGGAATGGTATGACCTACATTACTTAAGTAGATTGTGAAGTGGGTGGGTCCTAAGACTGAACCTTGTGGAACACCATTGTTAACAGTTAGATAAATGGAAGAATTACCATTAAGTTGAACACATTGCCTCCGATCTGAGAGATAATTAGAGAACCAACCAATAGTGTGATCTGAGAAACCTATTTCAGAGAGCTTATGTTATAAGATGTCATGGTCCACAGTGTCAAAAGCTTTAGACAGGTCTAAAGGGTATCTTGGTCGACTCGCATCTCTCTTTTAAGATCCATGTGGAAAACCTAGTAAAGAAACTGAAAGTTAAACTGGGCTTCTTTTTTAGAAATAGATCCAGTCTAACTCTGAATGCTAGGAAACACCTTGTAACTGTGACTTTCCTTCCCTCCACTGATTACAGTGACATTATTTACATGAACGCTCCTACAAGCACCCTGGAGATGTTGGATGCTGTCTATCATGGTACACTAAGATTCATAACTGGCTGGGATTATCGTACCCATCACTGCACCCTGTATTCACTGGTTAACTGGACATCATTGACCACACACAGACTCTTCCACTGGTACATTTTCATCTTTAAATCACTTCTTGGTCTGCTGCCTTCATACATCTCCTCCTACATGTCTCTGCGTGAATGCAGCTACAGCATGCACTCTCAGGACATTATTACCTGCAGTGTCCCCTCAGTGTGGACTGAACTAGGCAAAAGGCCTTCTCCTACTCTGCTCCTGTTTCCTGGAATATCTTACAAAAAGATCTGAAGCTCTCGACCTTGACCTCTCTAAGTGGCTTTAAGAATCTGTTGGACTCCTGGCAGGAACCAATGCAGACATGTTCCTGTTTTTAGTTTTCTACATTTGACTTATAATCTAGCTGCTTTTGTTACTTTTTTGCCATCTTATTTGTAAAAAAAAAAAAATAATAAAATCTGTATGCCTTTTTATAACTGTCTACTGTTGTCGCTGTTGTCCATTGTTGCCATCATTCTTTGTTGAAATCAGGTCTCTCTTGTAAATGAGTCATCAAGGCTCAATGGGATTAATCTGTCTAAATAAAGGTTGAATGAAAAAAATAAAGTGCAGCACATTTATTAGCCTCAATAACTGAAAACGTTGAAAATGAAAAGTTGTGGTTTACTGAAGATTGACTTGTAGGAGAGATTTGATTTGTAGAAGATATGCTTAAAAGAGAAGTAGCTGGTTTTCTATTAGTAAATGTGGCAAGCAAGTAACTGGAAGCAACAAAATGGCTATTGAAACAGTTTAGGATCGCATGGTTATTTTACACAGGAACAGAGTTCACAAGAAGTTGTGGTGGCAAGTCAGACGAATGAGAGCTTCCGGAAAGTGAGTTGATGGTTTTCCAGAATTGTTTAGGGTCATTTAGATCTTTGGAGGTCTAAGATAATAAAAAGAACAGTTAAAAATATTGATTTAGTCATTTGTTAAAACACTTTCATTTGCTTTCATTTGCCTCAAGGAGAATCCTTGACGTAGAAAACAAATGTACTATACGTATATGATCAACAAAAACAGGAAAAAAGGGAAGGTCTCAGTTTGTTTGTGGTGACCCACATACCTGACAAACATCCAGGACCAGTAAATCTGGAGCTCACCCTGGATCCAGCTGTAGGTAACTTGTGATAAAAATGTAACAAACGTTCCAAAAGCTCAATATTTTATGGCATGGCCAAATTTTCTTGATAGATGAAAGAAGTAATAGTAGAATGACAATAAAATAAAATCATGGCCTACTTACTTTCTATGGGGAGTAGAAGTGAACCTTGTGTTCCCTAGCAGACTGACAGGAATGGGACAGAGAGGCTTCTTTACCTTGTATGACTGCAGAACAAGCCCAGACAATTTACAGTAGCACGGAAACTAAATACATCACAGATACTGAAAGTCTATGTCAATCAATCAGTGTTTTACAGAATATGAAATGTCTCAAAGGTAGCCGTTGCGTTTAGGCAACGTAGTTATAGTTTAACAAGCATGCATCATTACATTATAATGTAGGGTTTGCCAAAGTGTACGTGTTAATAAAACCATAATAAAATGAATGCACATATTTCTAAGTTGGAAATGAGCTTTTCAGTTGAAGATCTCTTTCAAAAACTATTTTTTCCATCTATAATTTTTTTTTAAATTTTTTCCACCCTCAAATCCACAGTGATAAATGACCCTCCCCTGTAGGTTTTCCATTTCAACAAATCATTTTTTGGGGGTTAGGGCCTTTTAGAGGAACTTATTACAAAGCTTTTTGTCCCCATTTGAATTTACAATTACAAAAATGATAAGCTAAAGGTAAGATAAATTAAACAAATCATATATTTTGTATATTTCAACTGTGAACTCAGTGTTTTCATGACAAGAACATGTAGAATCCATAACACATACAATGCAATGACAAACCACACATTTACTAAATATTTAAAAAAAATATATAACAAGAAAATGAATAGTAAAATGCTATTTGAATTATCACTACTTTATTGACACAAATATCTTACCACATTCATTTTTTTGGGGACACCTATCTGCTAAATCTTTAAAAACAGATTTGTCACAGTTTTAAAACACAAAATAAACTACAACAGTCTAGTAGCTTAGCTCAATCATTTATAATTATTAGT